ATATATATATATATATATATATATATTTTTTTTTTTTAATTTATATATTTATTTATATATATTATACACATAGGCTAAATAACAGCACAAATATATTGACTGTCCCTTATACTGGGCTGCTTATACTTTATTATAAATATAATTATGACAATATTACAATATTTTTGGTCAGTTTATAATGTAATAAATTTATCATAATGTAATAATTGTTATTACATTTTGAGCTCAAGTTTTTATTACATTTTGAGAAAATTATTACATTATGACCATTTTATTACATTAATAATCTAATACTTATTACATTATGTGCAGTTATTACATAATGAGTTGTTACATGCCCAGATAATAAATCTTAGTTGAGGTAACATATGAAACACTTGGAAAAAATGGCTAAATTTTAATTGACCTCATTTGCTGTAGTTTTCTAAATGTTTGACCAATTAAATCATTTTAGTTGAATGGACTATAATAAAACGATTTCAGTAAAGCCAACTGTGAACCAACTAAAAAAATAACAATTCGGGCAACAATTTGAAGACCGAAATCGACTGAACGTAAAATTTCTGTGGAACTAGTTACTAAATAATTAGTTGAAACAGCTTGACATTTTTTACAGTGTCGGTACTACAGCGTAAACATGGTTTGTGAGGACACTTCCTATGTCCCTGTAAACAAATGGCTTTAAAAAACATTAAATTGTGTTTATTTTTATTTATTTATATATTGGAAATTCAAAAATTGCTTGTAGTTTTGTGTGAGGGGTAGGTTTAGGTGAAGGGTTAGGGTAAGGGGATAGAAAATACAGTTTAAGTAGAAAAACCATTACACCTATGGAATGAACCCATAATGATAGAAATACAAGTGTGTGTGTGTGTGTGTGTGTGTGTGTGTGAGAGAGACCTGTCATCCGGGTGCTGCAGTTCACCATGCTCTGAATGAGTTAACATATGCAGAGGGCATTTTGGTGCAAATTGGTGACAAGAGAGCCAGGTTGTGCAAGCTGTTTATGTCTTTGTGCTTAGCAAAAATGGATGGAAAAAGCAACATGCATCTGCACATCGTTAACATATGCACGCTGTGATTAATACATACAAGAACATGTCACCCAGTGTTATTCACAAGGCCTTTAGTTTCTATGATGAGGTAAAACACCAGATAAAAGCTTCTATGGTAAGTTAGTTCGGTCAAAAACATTATTAAAACTACAGGATGCAGAGAAAAGTGATTTTTCTTTAAGAATATAATTCACAAATATCGCATGCTTTGTGGCTTCAGTCTGTAATGCAGTGTCAAAGGTTTCATCAATAGCTATTTACAAAGGTAGCTACATTATTATTTCAGAATCAAAGCTTTTAAATATTATGGTATGGTATTCAGAATTATTGACATGATTGAAACTAAGTATGAAATTGCGCTTTTTCTTTTGTCAAAAAATGGTATGATTTCCATATGAGTTACAAATGTACTGCAGCTTAATAAAATGCAAAAGTCAACACAATGCTGCATTCACAATTAAGAATGTTTCTTGAATCCATCCCATGTAATTAGTTTCAAAGATGAGAAGTTTAAAAAAAAATAAGCCTCTTTTTGTTTGGAATAACATGTACTAGAAAGACCAAGGAGTAACCCTATGCTATAAAAATCCTCCACATGCAAAATTTGTTCTGTTGATTTTGAACCCATGTAAGAATGACTATCTCAGGCCTCCTGCAAGCTTGTTACCAACATTACTCCACTTTTTTGGTCTTCCTTTTCCCTGAAAAGAAGCACATAGATGTGAAATGGAGAGAGTTAGATGAAAAGCCGCTCTGTCATCTGATTCATTCAGTGTTTTGTGTGTTTTCTGCAGAGTGAGTACTCAAGTGACTCAGAGAGTGAAGACAATTTCCTCCTGATGCCTCCGAGGGACCACCTGGGCCTCAGTGTTTTCTCCATGCTCTGCTGTTTCTGGCCCCTGGGCATTGCAGCTTTCTATCTGTCTCACGAGGTGAGAAGCTCTCAACCACTACCAGCATAAATGCCAATGTTCAAGAATTAGTTACATTTATTAATACTAACGGAACGAATAAAAATATAGTTAATAAGCCTAACTATACACTATTCAAATAAAGCTTCCACAAAGGAGGTTTTCACAGTGATGCCATAGAAGAACCATTCTTGGTTCCCCAAAGAACCTTTCTGATCAGTTCTTAAAAGAACCTTTTTTTTTTTTAGTCTGAAGAACATTTGAATAATCTAAAAAACCCTTTTCCACCATAAAGAATCTTTTGTTTGTTCCATGGATGTTTAATGTTTTTATCCATGTCAGTAAAGAACTCTTATTTTTAAGACTGTAGACTGTTTACAGTTGCTTAGCAACATATCACAACTGATGCGTGGTCACAGATGTGAATACAGTATAATGGCTACTTTACAAAATAATTTGTCTGAACAACCTGTTTTATAATAAAGCAATAAGTCAGAACAAGCAATGAGTTGTTTTACAAATTGTATTAAATAATGATTTTGTGGTGCACCGTTTTTGGAGAAGTTTTTTTTTATTTTGTACATTCCTGTGAGAATGCAGTTCACACTGAGTTGCATCCATTGTACTTCAATTTTTATTGAAAAAATATTTATATAATAGTAACAACAATAGTAATATTTGCACACATTAACATGATTATTGTTGTTATTAGTAGTAGCAGTACAATGGATCTAAAGAAGTGATAATAATAATAATAATAATAATATGTCTGTCTGAGTTTAGAGAATGGATGGATAATAGGAAACATAGGAAAATATTATTATTATTAGGGGAGAGCGGGGCACAAAGTAACACTTTTTGAATTTCTCAAATTGTGTAAATCCGGAAAAATATGCAATATGAAAATAATTGAAGACAAAATGAGTTTTACTGAGAAAAAACAAGATTTGGTTTTTAAAAAGGCTTTATCCAAAAGGCACATCTGGAAAAAGGGGGGGTCGTCTTATAATCAGGGTCGTCTTATATTCGGGCCAATATGGTAGTTTGCAGACCAGTGTTGCCAAATCTGCGATTGCCACCGGTTGTTTTTTATGTCAGCAGGTTGAAGCGACCCCAATAAGTGATATTTAGGCCCTGGAATGTGAATTGTACCCGGAGAACCCCTGCCAATAAAATTTGTATTTTACCCCCTTAACGCGATTTTTACTGGGGGACCCCCTCGAAAGCAATTGGGCTATTTTCAGGCTAGTTTTGAGTAGTAATTGGGCGGGTTTTGTAGCGAAAACCTGGCAACCCTGCACCAGACAGAGCTGTCGGCGATTCTTCCTATTGTGAAGTCATGCAATGTGAAACCCCCTGTCGCAGATCCATCGTGCAATGTGAACGCAGCAGCAACTGAATGCTACCCCAGATAGTCACGCAGTGTGAAAACAACGGCGATCCGACGAGTTTGAAAATCATGCAGTGTGAACTCGGCATAAGTGGCCACACCTAACCTGTGCAGGTGATCAGTCTCAGGCACGGGGTTATAGGAAATGAAGTCCGAATGCACTAATATTCCGGATAGGGTGCCCTCCGGTGGCGATCAGAGGGAGCCACAGAGGCCTGATTCGTGACACACAATCTCAGAGACAGGAGACCACAAAACTACTGACAAACACAACTGAAAACTGAGGGGTACATATACCCACAGGCCAAACAAGGAACTAAATGAGACACAGGTGTAAATGATAGATTACTACAGAGACAAACATGGGCACGATCAGTCACTATGACAGCCAAGGAGCCAGGGACTTGACTGAAAGAAAACACAGGAACCAAAAGCAAGTAGAAAGTGTCCACAAAACAGAATATAACTGTGACATATACAGAGCAGGTTGTTAGTAGCGAGTACATTTTAGACATTGAATTATGCTGCTATTTTGTGAATGCATTAGAATAGTATGAATGGTTGAAAATTAAAGCTGTTATATTAAAGCTATTTTACTATTAAAGCTTATTAATCCATTTGGTTAAAATAAATTAATTTGTTGAGGGTTTTGTGTAAGAGTGGCAAGAGCAATTTCCTATGAGTTGTGCAAATTATTCCCAGACAAAGTTAATAGCTACAGTCTTTCAATCAATTTTGTTTTTTGGTATAAGTTTAATAGTATAGATGGACAGACAAGATTGTCTTTCACAAACCATCATGGGAGTGGGAGATTGATGCTGACTTATTAAGAATTTATTTATTTATATTTATTAAGAAGTTTCTCAGTACAGAAAGAATTTTATTGTATTTTATATTTTATTGAATTTGATTGTATTTTATTGTATTTTATTTTTTATATTATATTTGTATTTTATTTTATTTTATTTTATTTTATTTTATTTTATTTTATTTTATTTATTTATTTTATTTTATTTTATTTTAAAGGCATGTGCTAAAAAGTTTTGTGAATTCACACCGTACAGTAGTCTCCCTGAAAACATAATACCAGCTATTTTTAAACCACTATATTGCTGGTCTGAGTTCCAAATTTCTTTAAAAATATGTCCAGAATGTATTTGCTAATTCTCTAAATATCTTTCCAGTTGAGCAGATTGTTCCTGTTCTCCGCAGAATATCAGGCCCTTAAACATCCCTTTTTTTTTATCATTTGCTATTCATCATTCATCTCCACTCAAAGATCCTGCACTCAAACAACGCTCAATTTATAATTGTTTCATGTGAGTTTGTGGTTTTGTTTCACTGGTTACTAATTACATCTGTGGGGGATGCATTTTTTATGTTTTCTATTTCAGTTTCACAGAGATTGCATCTGTGTACATTTTCATGTTTTTCACCAAAGCGAGTAATCAGTTCTGAATTTTAGATTGGGATAAAACTGTAATGGATTTTAATGTATGATGGATCTCATCATAGTGTCTCCTCAAGGATTTTATTTTTGCAGAAATGAGGACATTACAGCATTCTAAACAATAACAAGTAGTATTATATCAAATTTTTATTAAAATTTAATATTTAATAAATTACTGTTGGGAATATGTAGTAGCTATTAGACTGATTCAAGTCTCACTATCCTTACAAATTTGCATATTTAGAAACACTGCTCATACATAGCGGTACAGAAAACACCATCTCATCAGATATATTACAATCAAATTATAATTTCAGATGAATTGTTCTTTTTAGACCTTAAACCATGAGTAATTGTTAATCTAGGCAGGTCAGTGAATGCTGTTCCTGTCCTATCTGTTTTTGCTAAGCCTGTGTGCATAACCTGACTCATTTCTTTTAGAGCGTGTTCTAACACGAACACAATAAGCTCCTTATGTAATGGTTTGGCGAGAGAGGATGCAAGTGTGGGCCTTTTAGAACATAAGCTTTAAATAAAATACCTTTTTTTTGAACAATGGGTGAATGCATTCAACAAAATGGTTTTCATTTCGTCAGCAACCCGTGGGTGCTCTGTGCTCGATCGCAGCCGAGATTCACATAAGCCCACTTCACAAGTCAATATGCATTTGTGCTGTCGTTGATGATTATGCAGGAATGTCACATTTTAATATTGAAGGAAATATATTCTGCACAGTAAGATCTGGTGCAATCACTAATTTGACAAAGTGAGCGATTGTTGTGTCTCATTTGATTTCTTTTTAATTTTCTTTTTTTCTTATCGTCTGTGTCATTGCTCTATTGTTAATTAGTTTTTACTTTGATTTGATGGCAATTAATTATGCATGTCTAAAGTGAAGCAGTAATTAGGCAACCAAGTACAGTCCTTCATCTGTACGGAACAATAGGCTGCTAATCATGTTTGCACACTAACTGTGCACATTAACAGCAGGTGCGGAAGAAGTCATGAAATACTTTGCAAATCAAAGTTCAAATATTACTGCATGACTAATTTTGACAAATTTTCAACAAAGGGTGCATTAAAAATGCTGGAGATTACACTCAACAATGTTTTCTTTTTTCAGACAGACAGACAGACAGATAAAAAAAAAAATAAAAAAAAATAAAATAAACTTAAATATATAAATCAGACTCCACCAATCAATGTATGTATGTACATAGTATACATTTCTTAAAAAAATAAATAAATACAAAATAAGATCAACAATATAATACTTCCA